TGTATATTAAGATTAATAGCTTTTTGTACATGTATTAAATGCATAATATAATACATTGTTTTATTATTAATGTCCCACTTTCCCATCCATTGTAACATCTACCATATCGATAAGCCTAATATTTCTTAAGCCACTGTAATGATCAGATAAAAATTTGAAGACAGACATATTAATAATTACTATAGAACATTTACAAGTACAGTAGCTACTATCCAGAGACAAGCATAATAATAAATGCCATATATGGTATTATAATATTAAGGTGGCTGAGATTTTGATACTTTTCTTTTTTTCTGTGTGGAACTTTAATTTATTAGAAACTGAACGTCAGCTGTTAATGGTTATTATTTATTTCATTCTTAGACAGTGGTTTTTTTTATAATTTTTATAGTTATTGGAGATCACTTATTTTAAATTGAAAAATTTAAATTTACTTTTATATAAGTATCATGACGTATCTGCATTTTGACTGTGTATCAAATTAGCAGAATCCTGGCTCGTCTAACTGAAATTTAAAAAAAAATCGGATATAAGTCTAAATTTTTCGAACTATACAATTCTGCTTTGGTGGTTGGTATATTATGGATTATGTACTGTATCCCGGACTCGGGCGCGAACCCGAATTGTTCATGTATAATATCTGAAAATTGTTACAAAATTATAATATAAAGCTGCAGGTTCACTGAAATGTAAACTTGAAGTAATTCGTGATGAATAACAAAAAATGAAAGTTGTATCTGTTTTCAAAGTTTGCGGAGGTTCCGAAGGATGTGGAAGTTGCAAACCATTGGTCATAGTGCGAGCAATAAAGGATAATATGTTATTGTTATGTGCGAAAGCTGCACCGATCGGCCACAAAAAGATAGTGTAGTATGCATGTCTAGTAACAGATAAACGACGGTTCGCAAATGTACGATATAATATAACGATATATTATATTATATATGAGAGAGGGGAAACGAAAACCCGTACAAATAGCATAAAGCAAGCGTAAAAAATTGTAATATGGTGAAAAAAATATTAGAAACACAATATGTACATCGGAAACCGAATCGACGGCCCGCCAACTAGAAAACCGTTTGCAAAAGTTTTAGGTGAATTCTTTAGGTAAAAATTTGATTAACATTATACGTATTGTAAAAAAAAACCTTATTTGTAAAATACTAATTTTACAAATAAGGTTTTTTTTGAGTGAAAATGCTTACAAATGTGATTAGTTGATAATATCATAAAAAAAATATGTTTTTTTTGTTACAACACAGTTCACAAATCACAATATTATTATTCATCTCTTTGTTGCATGTCTTTTATTGAAATTGACTTATAAAATTAATTTTTGTCTGCATTAATACATACACACATTTTTACTAATATAATGTCATTTTATCATGAACTCTGAACCGCCTTAAGGTACTTGCGTATAACGTAAATGTTCTAATATCCAGTTATTAAGATACAGTTTTTAATAATTGCTTGAAGTATAAAATGTAGAAATCAAAAATGTATGAGCAAGTATATTATATCCTCAAAATTCTAAATGTTTTGGGAAACCAGAAGGATTTCTTAATTTAGGTCCTATTCCCCTAACAAACTACGTCGAACCGTTATTGTATGTTTAACCGCTTAAACAATACGTTAAAAAGAGCACAAAAAATATGGACGTTAAATATAAATTAAATTTTACTAATTAAATATGCATATTCTAGATTGTAAATGATAGAAAAAACACATAATTAGGCTCATTGTATTCGTAAAGTAAATATTGTTTATATAACTGCATCCTAAATAAATAGTAGAAAAAAATCATACAAAAAATATTATGAATTTTGAACTCTGAAGTGGTGTCACTGGAAATTCTCTTTACTCAAGAATACCATGTCTAGTTATTTGAACATAACTTTTTTTACTTTATAATTGTATGTACCTACATATTATTATATCATATTCAGATTGTAGATAATATTATGTTTTAAAAAAAACTTCATCCTACACACTCTGGTGCCTCATCGATAGCCAATGCAGTTGGTTTTTGAACTTTATTTTAAAACATATAAGTGAGAACATTATAGGCATTATATGTGAGTACTTACGCTTGTTTTTATGTTATTTTATTTTTTAAGTGATCATTTTTAGTATTTTACTAACTTATACTTACTTCAAATTAAAATTTCGTAAAAAAAAAAATATATAAAAATGACAAAATAAAGTTCATAACTATTGAACGGGTGAGTTCACTCGGATATCAAAGCTAACTACACAAAATGGTTTTTACTCAACGAAAATATGCAATGTTCTACTTTTGAAAGACGGAGAAATAAATTCGAATGAAACGTCTTCAAGTTTTGACATTGCGTTCGATTGTTACAAACAACTGTTGAAATCGTAATAAAATCCAACGTTTAATAACATTTCATATCAAGTCTCTATGAATTTGTGATGATTTTAACGTGTAAACAGAACAAAACGTTTTTGTAACAACGTGAAGTCATAATAGTTAAACAATTGAACAAAAATGGCCCATTAGTTGTTGTTCCATTCCTGTCTAACAAACAGGCAGACAATTATAGACGAACATCAATGTGTATGCGTCATGTGAGTGAAATGTCTTCAAATATTACGACTGATAAATGTTGCTACAATTGCGTTTGGTTGTTATATAGACAACCATTGAAGTCGTTTTAAAACTTAAAGTTTAACAAATGTCAGATCAACTCATATCGAATTTTCAGTGATTTAAATATAAATCACATACCAATAATATAATGTTTGTTAGTACAGGTGAACGCGTTACAAGATTGTCTGTCCGCTGATCATCTTGCCATACGTGTGATTTATATATTATTTGTGCTAAATGCTTTTTATTTATTGTTGTTGGTCGTGTGACTTTCAAGTAGGTATTTTAAAGCCTCATAACCAGTGACTCGGGCTTACTTTAAGTGGGCCTTATTTATCACACAAAAATATACAACGATACGATTAGCATTGAATTGTGTTATTTACTCACCGCAACGATGACAACCAGCCAACAGAATAATTATTATTTTTAAATTGCTTGTGTTTACACGAAACCTTTATGTTTAGAAATAATAAATAAATATTACATTATGCTGGATAAAAACGTTGACGTAATAACATTATTACGATTAAACGAGCCAAAAAAAAAAATATATATATATATAATTACATTTTAGTTGACGTTCAATGAAAATAATATTATTTCGAGAACAGTCAATTAATTGCTAATGCAATTTCTCTCTGTTCTTTTATTCAGAAATGGCTTTTTATTTTACCACGATTTAATGAACTAGCATTTTTACACGTTTGGAATTTATTTACGGTGATAATCATTATGATTTTTTTAGTCTTGCTCTTACATTTGTGTCATACAATTTTTATGTTCGAAAATTTACATACAGATTAGAGCGAAAAAACATAATAATATAAAGAAGTTGTGCACTACAGTTTTGTAAATAATTCAACAAAAACTACATGGCGTTGTTATAATATAATTTTAACATAATATATGTGAACACATTCAACCGCGAGTTTGTAAAATGTATACATACATAATATAATTTAATTTATGCAATTTTCTTCCGTTTGTGTATATATTGTATAGTGTATTATAGTAGTTTGAATATAATATTCTTTTCCCGAGAAAAAGGTTTTTGGACTTATCGTATCTGAAAACCCGCAGCGATATACGCGTGTAGAGTGCGTATATTATTATTATTGTATGGGAACGTTTGACGGGGTGTAGGATAAAAAAGTTACTCGCTCGTTTCGAGGCTGAACTATAAATCAATCTTCGAACGATATTTTCGCTAAAAAACGTTGTCAGAAGTACGCTGTATATATATATATAATAATACACATCATATTGTAATATACGGTGTATTATAATAACGTAACGAAATGCAGTGGGTCTTCTTTCTCCACCTAAAGAAAAAAAAATCCTCTCCCCGAAGTCTTTGGATTTTTGTTTTTAAACGTTTTCATTGGTTTTTTCGGATATAATATATAGTATTATAATTGACGGGTGGGAAAAAAATGATATACATAACCCGCAATACAACTAGCACACGTATATAACTATACTGTACCGCGATCAATCGAAATCCGCGAGGATTGCGAGAGCGAAAACTTTTAGTAGCTGGTACACCTTAATAATATTATAATAAACTATGTATTATTATCTATAAAATCGTATAAACAATTTTTTAGAAGGAAGAATAGTTTTGATACGCAATAATAGAATATCTGTAGAGTTTGGGTATGGAGTACCGCCATGCCACCAGAGTAACGTTGCCCCATTACCAACTTTAAGATTCTTAAAATTCTGAGGAATGGGTCATTTACCAATTTTTTGAATTTGTATTCAATAAAAAAATGTGTGCTTTATGGAGCTGGCATAACTGACCTTGACAATAATAATAATAATATATTACGCAGTCTGATGAGGTGTCCCCAAGCATGTGCGTTAGGACAGACCGCCAAATCTTCGCGGCGTATCCGTTTCAAATAAATGATTTCATGCCACCCCTTTTTATATTTTTTCTACCCAGTGACCCCCATCGGTAGTGTTGTCAACAATCCGTCGACAGCAAACCCGTAACAGTCATGTTTTCGTAGTGATATAAAATGCAAAATCATAACGAGGCGAATATATGTAGTATAGACAACACAATATCATATTAAAATATACAAACTGATAAAAAAAAAACATTGCATACCTAATGTGAATAGACATTCGAGACGTCGTTGTTATTGTTTTTTACATAATAAATAGGTACTCGATAACAATGCAATTATTAGTGACAGCTTTATTGTCGATTCACCAATACAGATCAGTATTATTTATTTATTTACATAATATATGGGCTATGATGATTATATGAGTGATTGATATCACTTACAAGTTGTATTATCACACCCAACAAACTACCTATATTATTATTTGTACACGGTTTTTCATTAACGATCCTTTTTCTCGTTTGCAGGACGTCCGCCACCTCGTGTCACCTGGTGGCAAGAGAACGCGCTGATCGATGAGACGTTCGAAACGCTACCGGACCGGAAGGTGAGAAACGTGTTGCGCCTAGAACGACTTGAACGCCGACACCTCAACACCGTTTTCACTTGTCAGGCGTCCAACAATCACATGGTACCGCCCATATCCAGCTCCGTCTCGTTGGACATGATACGTGAGTACATGCACATGTATACTGTAATAAAAAATTATACAAACGGTGGCTCGTTTGGGTTGGATTTCCCTATGAATTTCCGAGTATCATACCGTTTTGAAGTACAAACCCTACGATTGCCCAAAATACCTCAAGCAGATCGAGATCGACGAATAATGCCACCCGAGACATTGAGGGTACCTATTCGTTTATACGAGTGTTTTATGTACGTTTGTTTTTAATGAGCATATTTTTTTTTTTTTTTGTTATTCATTAATATTTTTCAAAATCAATTTGCTTTAACAACAATGGTTATTAGCGTAATGTGTTTTTACATTTTTATTTTTAAGTCACCCGTTTTCTTCTTAAATATGATTCTAAATTAGTTTATATAATTCTGGTTTTTTTTTTTTAAATTGAGTAGTACATTGTTCACATTTCTGCTTGGGGTCATAGGATTACGAATAAGTGTCCTGGTAAATTGCATTCTTTTCTTGTTTTTTCATATTTAAGACAGTTTTTTTTTTAAATAATCTAAAATAGCAACTCATTCATAGTTACACCATATTATTATTATGAATCACCATAAATATAAAGTAGATATAGTAGTTATTATAGTAAATATTTTCAATATATTACTTATAGATAGAGAACGAATTAGTTAAAACTATTGTTGATAAGGAAATGTATTATTAACACATCAAAAATAATTTTATATAATATACTATCAAGCTTATAAGTAATGACCGCCTGTCGTACCACTATTCGACGATTAGTTCAATAACCACATAATATGTATTGTACAAAATAGAACATCGAAAGATAATAATACTATATTGATGTAATAATATTACATTGATACGAAAAATCGATGGAATATCGTATAGGCTGCCCGTTGTTTGTTTGCTTATGCAATAATAAAGATATGATATACCTGTGGGTAGATAAGTTTTGACAGCAAGACAGGGGGGCTCACGGAAATTGACAAAAACCATATAATACATTTAGGCACATTTATGTGTGATATATATTTTATATTTTCGGTCGTATCCGATGTTCGACACATAGATATCGATTCCTTTAAATCTGGTTAAGACTCGACAAGGCCGACCCAAACAATACACTATAAATAAAATAGTTGTGGTGCTCGTTTTAACCGTATAAATAAATAACATTTGACGTGTACTACTGTTATAACAAAACGTAATCGAATGCGGTGACGGAAGTGGTGGTTTACGTCCCGCAATGCCGAGTAGAATTTAATATGACTATTATTGTGTAATCGATTAAAATGTAAAACGAATCAGAAACAACCTTCTGAATCGGACATTTTGTCCTTCAATCTGACGTAGGTTAAGACTTTGGAGCAGTCATAAATTACGTGGTGTGTGTGTATTCTTATGCGGTATGTTGTGCCGAAATCAATCAAGTTTGTATTGGCCAAAGGTACTACTTTTGAAATGGCCTGATTTCGATCGATGTAGCTATAATCCGTCCAGTTCATCTTCGCGCTCGGCAACCGTAGCCAATTTTTTTTTTTAAGGAGGTCCAAAAACTATATTTGACATCACACCGCAGTTTTCGGATCACTGTTTTTTTTTAAAAAAAAACATGTACACTTAATCCAATGGAAAGACAAACTGCGGGACAGATTATACTAAAGACTCTCGGTGACCGTTTACAGTGACAGTGACAGTATTACTCCTCGTAGTAATCACGTCAAGCGCACGCGACAACGTCAAACGGTCATTATTAAGGAGTTGAAGTATTTTGGACGGGGAGAAAACGGTGTGAAGTCGGTGTGTCGGAGGCCTAGCTACACCGTCGTTATTCAGACTATTTGTGCGGTGCATTCGCAGACACACGTACATGCACATTTACGCATATATAGCGCCAACCTTCGAAGACGTTAACGATCGGACCGAATTTGATTTATAGACCGTTTCTCGCCACTATCCGATTTAATTTTCGTTACGAATTATTTATGTCCCCCCCCCCCCCTCACCCCGCCCATGTGCTCGACCGACGAGTTTAGCGATACGTATATCGATTTATCGTGTGTTCAAGACTCCTCGCCGCCGCCGGATGCGTGGGTATTTTACACGCCGATACGTATACGTATAAATAACAATACTAATAATATTGTTATTTTATCCGACGCCGATCGACACGACACTAATATTATTATAAGACGTATGTATTTGTAGACCACGTGCCGTGTAGTTCCGGTGCGAAAAAATATTAATGGAATTTAAAAGGTCCGAATAAAAGTTGGACTAGCCATTTCGGCAATCATCCAATCACCCCGACGCCTGAGACTGCTAGTACTCTGACAACGGTGAATCTGTATGACGATCAGTCTACATATTGATAGCAATTGAACGCAAAAATACTATGAGTTATGACTTAAAAAATAATTTCGATAGATATTTGCAGTGTAAATCAATCGTTTTTATTGTTTAATATATCATATTATTATAATCATGAAGTATACATTTTAACTATTTTGATCTTTTTTTTAAATTTTATTCTTCATAATAATTTATAGCATTGCATGGTTGATGTGGATTTGTGATTTGGCATTTTCATACAACCAAAGCCGTGCTAACTTTCATGAGCGGTATAGGGCCCCAGGGAAATAGTATTTGCCATTATTAAACATGGTACATATTTAAGCATTTGTTTTCGTCATCTATTTAGTATAAATAACTAAAATTGGAAGATTATACATGTAACTAACATGTCCATTTATGTCGCATGACTCTCCTCAGTGTTTCTATGATGACAGAATTACGATGGATGTATTTTATTTCCGCGCATTAAAAATTACATTTATTTTGACGAATAAAATTCGTCTCTACCTTCTCGTAGTTGTTTTATTTAATTTATAATTAGAATATATTTTCCAACATAATTTGTTAAAACATGTCAACAACCTTGGAAAGTAATGTTATGTTTAACTACCATTGCATTTATCCGATTGCTTTAATACTTTAAATTCAACTAGGTATATTTTTTCGATCGAATTCCAACATTTTGCATATTATTAAGTTTTCAATAAATTGTCTTAGAACAAAATAAATTGCATGTACTATTTATAAAACTAAATCATATGCTGAAGCCCCCCGATTTAGTTATTATTTTTATTTCAGTATAAACTTTTAAATGTTTTAGAAAATTTAAAATAGTTTCCTAATTTATTGAAACATAAATGTGAAGAATCTTGGTTCTAAGAAAAGTAACTTATAAAATACTAGTTAGCATATCAAACTTATAAAAAAGTACAAAATGAAATGCTGAGAATTATATGTTTTAGCATAAATAGTTTAATATCTATAAACATTAATGTTATTTATTATTATGTTAGGTACATTATAAATAAATACAAATTAAATAATTTTGTTCTATTTATATAATACCTACGTATACATTGTAATAATACTATATTTTGTTTTTATACACTCAACTCCATTAATACTGTTTTTAAGTTGCTCGTTAAAGTTTTCATTACAGTTACGCTTATGATATTGAATCGACTTAATTAATATGAATCGAAAAAATCACAAAGGTGCTTTTGATAAAATAATCCATACATTTTTTTTACAGTGTAAATTAAAAAATTTCAATTTCATACAAATTAAGAGTATTTTTTTCGAGGAATTCATTATTTACAGTTGTATAGGATATTTAAATTTTATTCTTTTCCACCATTTATATTTTAAACGTCCGATGTTACATAGTTTACATAAGTCACTACTATATACATTATAATCTAATTATTGTAAGAGTAAAAAAATATATACACTAGGTATAGTACTATATCCATCTATCGTTCAGATTGATTGACAGTAATACTCCAGTTCTTTAGTATTAATAAATTAACAACGAATTGTTATAATAATAATAATGGTAATAAATTAATAAATATAACATTGTAAAGAAGAAAAATTGTTTTTTCTATGTAATCTCTAGAGTTACACAAAAGATCTTACCATCAGAAAAGTAGACTATCACAAGGATTTTTAGGCTATATTTTATCTCGATAAGTGGAACTTCATTTTTTCATTGCAAATTTAATAATTTTTTTAGAATGCAGACAAATGATGTTTTTTAATTTTATTGTAGGGTTTATGTTAGTAACAATGCATTTTAGACTTGTATTTCAATTTGGCCAAAATATCAAAATTACTGTGCTACAAATCTTTAATGGAGATTGAGATGAGATAAATCGAAGGTATCAATCAACGGGGAAAACGGTTTATTTCAATATTATATTATAATTGTTGGATATTATTTAAAACAGTGTACCACAAAAATATCACTCAAATGTCTAATGCGTAATGATTAATGTGTTAAAAATTAAATAAATAGCGAAATTAAATTTAAACTCAGGGGGTATGAATGAAATAAATCAATACTCCAAAAATGTACATGGCAATATACTGATCGCATAATCACTAACTAGTCTCACAGGCATCACGGGGCGGGATGGCTATAATAATATTATAATATGATCGAACGTGTCCTGGCTCACTTATTGACCAACGTAGATCATAAGCAACGATATCTCGAGGCTTGCAATTTTCACGGTACCTACGTACTTCCACTTAAACATGCACTAAGAAATCATTTTCCGAAATTCGCTTTTAAAGTGGTGCTTGCACTAGTAATTTGAAATTCCAGATGATCGATGGAAAGTTTTAAAAACCACAACCAAATATTAAATAACAAATTGAACAACGTTTGAATCATGTAGAGTTGGCAAATTTTCAACAGACAACGAATTTCACGGGGTCAGTTAGTTATGAATATATCCAAACGTTTACCTAGTGGCGCCCTACAGGGAAAAATTTTAATTAGACGTACCCCTCCCACCGCTAGTCTATAACTAATAGAATAGTAATAGCAATACTATATCATTATATTCACATTGCATACTCAATTCTCACTCCGGTAGTTGTGATGTTTTCATATTGATTATTATTATTACGTGTCGTTTAATTATCTGAGTTCGTTACTCC